CAGCCCCCCCCGCCGCCAGCCACTGCAGCCAACTTCTGAGGCTCGGCTGCAGCAGTAACTGCAAGCAGGAGAGTGGAACTAGCTTAAAAAGCTACAGCTGTTCCTAGAGCAACTGCCCGCTGTAGAGCAGAAAGGCCTCCCGTCTTGTTTCCAGCAGCACCGGAAAAGGACGGATGAGAGAGGCAGCATGGACACCGGCAGGCAGTTGCCTGCAAATGAACTGGATTCATCTCAAATCAGAGCCGCCTGGAAGCTGTCATGTGAATCAGTCCCATTTTCTTCACCAGGCAAGTAGGATGTAACTTGATTTCATTTGGTGTCTGGCTCCTAGAAGAAGCCATGTTTTTGGCGGTAGTTTGCTCTTTTCAGGAAGTACATGTTTAATACTTCTACTAAATGTGATGGCTCCACAACAAGGACTGCCAGGAGTTGCTACCACAGAACCCTCGCAGCTTCTCTGGACAAGCTGTTCCAGTGCTCTGTTACCCCAGAGTGAAGAAGTTTTCCTAGTGTATTTATATGAAAAATAATGGCTGAAGTAATTTGTGAATGACTGTGAAATGAGAGCACTCCCTTCTAGAGAGAGGTAGCTCTAAAAGCATCAGAATAAGCTAACAGATTCCACAAGTTAGCAAACTGAGGGAATAGGAAGAAAGAGCTTCTTCATAAAATAAAGAAGCTAAAGAAAAACGTACAAATATTTAGTGACTCAAACTATAGTAAAAAACAAAACAACAACAAAAAAACACAAGGGCAAATATCACGTGGAAGAAAGATAGCAAGCATAATATACAGCTACCTGGCTGCATCCAAATTTTCTTAGTAATCTAAGAAAAGGAAGTAACAAGGAAAATAACAGAGTATTAAGGAAACACCACAAGGACATAGTAACAAAACCCGAGTGCAAAATCAGACTGGCTCAAGTGCCAAGGACATGAATAAGGTAGGAAGAACGCATTTAGTTTCACCAAATAGGTACAGTCCTATTATTAAAAGAGGGGGAAAAAGGCATAAAGAAAGAGAATGTAGAGAAGCCTCAAATCTGAATGCTTGCTTTGCCTTCTCCTTCACAAAGTAGGGGGAAAAAAAATGATCCACTACTTAAATACGGCAACAGGAGTACTAGCAGTCATAGGAAACACCTTAAAGAATATTTTGGTAAACAGCTCTATTACAAGTGGGAGGGCTGCAAGACATTCCCTCAGCAGTGCTGAGATAAACAAGCTGAAGTGCTCTCTGAACCTAGAAGAACCGAAGAAAGGTAAGTCCAGGATGCGTCTTTGGAAAATGGAAAAAGGAATGGCCCATGGATTTACAGACTACACAGAAATAATCCTTAGCACTACAGAGTTTCACTTTTTAGGATCAGACAAGCCGTAAAGAGAGCATTGACTTTGTTTTTTAAGAACAGATCACATTAATTCTACTCTAATAAAATTTTATATAAATTATTAAATAAATAATAAAAATAAAGAAAGGTGTGCTACTACTTTTGCTTTTCTAAATTCTGTGGTCCAATAAGGCGACAACTAAGCACCTGTTTGAATTGGAGACTTTCCCTTCCCAAATGCTGCTGTTGACCCTTGCCAAGGATCACCCCATTGCTTTCCTGTCTGCTCTTCACTGGGGACAAGTTATCTGCAGGGCACTAAAGTGAAGGAACTCGAGGCATTTCCCTCAAAAACGACAACCAGCAGGTACTCCGGAGTACAAGCAGAGGGAATTTCAGCACAAGCAAAACTTCTTGAGCAGGAAGCCTGCCCAGCCCGCGGCCGTTTCCCCCTGTGGGTCAATTGCACATGATGTGATAGTGC